TACAGTTAGTTGATAAAAAAAAAAACTCAATTTATTGTACTTGTATTAAGATTTTGTGTTCTTGTGACGACCCCATCTCCCTCTAGGGCATACCAAAGGGTTTAGCGGATCGCCTGCCCAACTCTCGCCAGGACTCACTCACTCGAAACTCGAGAAAATAACTTACATTCATAGCAAATAAGTAATACAACAAGTTCAAACTTAATATATACATTGATGCTCAGATCCAGCTACAAGGCTTATACACGCCCAAATACATTAATGTGTTTACAATCCAAGTCCAATCAACCCTAGTCGGATGCTAGCGTGAGCACAATTCAAAATTTCAAAATTAGACTACTCTGTACAAGTCTCACGCCTCGCTCGTACCCCCTGCTAAGGAAAACAAATGGAACGGGGTAAACTATATGTTTAGTGAATAATCGGGGTAAAAACGTAAAATCACATCCAAATAAACATGTAAACCAAGATATTTCACATCAATAGATAGAAATATAACATCACAATGGTAGGATACGGGTGGCTTTAAAACCAGTTCAATTCCTCGAGATTGAACGCCTGTTGACACTCCGTCAACCAAAATACTCATGGTCCGTAGACTCCACTTACTTTTCCCGTTCATCTTATCAACCCTCGTTGGCCAGTCAACAGCACACAGCAGCTCGAGCAAGACAAAATCACTTAACTTTAATCAAAGCTTTAACAAAGAACGAAATCCCAAGGTTAGCATGGAACTATCTTCGACCAAGCCCCGGCTGACTCGAATAGTTCGTCTATCCTTGAAACCGGGTTGGAACCAAACCCTGAGATATCCAATCTCTCAATGGATAATATCTCTCAACAAAGTACTCACCCCAACAGCAAGGGGTTCAACTCAAGTTGTGTAATCACCCCAACAACACACAGCAAAAGGGTGTTATTCAGCACAAAGCATGTGTTCTCACATATTGAGTCAACAACAGAGAATGGGCTTAAGTCGAGTGAGATAAAGTACACTCTCACCTAAGTACCCATTCAATATATACAAATCACATCGACAATTTATCATATAAACCAACCCAATTACTCACTCAAAATAGTTAGCGCGCAAATCAAGGCACTTTATACGGGTCCACCGATTCCGTCCGGTTCGTCACTGCCTGTGACAGAAGATTATACTCAACTATCAGTCAACCAACCATCACAAATGGAAGTAAGGACTAAAACGGCCAAGATGACAAAAAGGGCAAAGAAATGTATGTGCGCGTGCGCAGAAATGAAAACTGTATAAAAATGGGTTACACGGTTTTGATCATAACCAGAGATGTGGTTATCCGATCAAGGTGTTCAAGGTAGCGTCTCGAAACTAAGAAAAAAGGTTACAACTTTCATGAAAACAACTCAACCCAGTTTTCAGTAGATCTAGGTCGAATTTGCAGATTACAGAACCAGAACTCCAAAGGCTGGTTTATACCTCTAATGAAAATTTGGGCAGCACGCCCTTTGTGTTTACCTATTTTCAGCCATTTATGATTTCATTATTTTTCTCAATTTAGTCCCAAAATCCCACACAAGCAATGTTACCACCATAGTCTTTCAATTAGGCTCCAAAATCATCCATTTATAACACAAGTCTAATAAAACAACCAAAAATCAGTTTTTGAAGATAAAAGCTAAACATCAGATTTGACATCTTATAGAATTTTAGCTAAAACTGGAGCTATGTTTATCGGATTGGGGTACACTTTATACCGTTTCGAAGTTAAGACATAGAACTACAAGTCTCATGAAGACATCAACAACCAATTCGTGCATTGTCAATATCAAAATGTGTAATCACCGAGAAGACAGAAAACTGTCCACAAAACAGGGCATTTGGCAGTCAGGGGTATTTCTATCATTTCACATGATATAGTGCTCCGATTGAGGTGAAATATTTCAGGAAGCTATATAAAATCATTTCCTACAACTTTCATGTTTTGACCTAAGCCTAATTAGGCCTCTAACATGGACGAATTAAACAGGTCAGAAGCTAAACAGGTTAGTTTCAATTTCTGGAATTTGAACTTTTCCTCTAGAATTTCATATCTAATAAGCATTCAATCATCAAAACCAACAATTACTAACTCTATAACATCCATTACTAGATAAATAACCATAATCAAGGCTGAAAATGTAAACCCTAGCTAATCATTCCACTATCTCATGCAAAACTCACTAATTAACCGTCATAACCCAAGATTAAGAGTTTCTATCCAACGTAAACAAGATTAAGGAAGAGGAAAAGGATAAGCAGCCATGATACCTTCCTAGGATGCTTGTAGGAGAAGACCACAACCTTTCCTTCCAAAATTTTGCTACACAAAGCTTTAATCTTCCCTAAAGAGTAACTTATATGGAGTGGTTTGCAAGATTTATGGTTGGAGTTCAAAATTGAGCAAGAAAATTGATTAGTGAAGATGAAGTTTCCCCTCCCTTTTCTCCATCTGTGGTTCGGCCAGCCTTGAAGAAGAATGAAGATGATTCTAGTCCAAATTAGATATTTAGCAAAGGTAAGAAATTGGTCAAAATCCAACTTCCATAGGTTCATGACACTTGGCTTTTCTTTTCTAGACTTTTCTCTTATTTCTTTTGGTCAAAAATTGTGGCTAATTTAAAAGATATTTCAGGGTTAATTAGCTGAAATAAAGCAAGACTATTAAGGTAATAAGGTAGTGGTCAAGTGGTGTACTCACTCGGTAAACGGTACTCGTCGGTTCCAACCGTTTTTCCTTAACTCGCACGTACTAGAGTTTTCACTTATAATTCACTATCTTATGATTATTATTTCTAATCACACACTTTTTCTTATCTAAACGTCACTCTTAATCACCAAATTTAGTACACAGCCCGTACCGATTACTCACACTACGAAAAGACGTAAAAACCTTAGTTTACCCTAACGATGAATGAAAAGGGAAAACTCTTAATTCTATTCTTTATTCCAACCACTGGGGAGGTAAATGAGTAGTATAGCTATTATAAAATAATTTAATCAAAATAAAAGGATATTTGAAGAAAATATGAGGGATTTTACAACTCCATAGATCACCAACTTAATGTAATCCACAAGCTTAATTACAGCTCATTAATCTACTAACCACCCAACCGTTATAGTTACCTATCTTCTTGCGTACCAATGATTAATTACCTAGCCAATCTCTAATTGTCTTCTAGTATCTTGTAATATAATATCCCTTAACACAGAACTCCAACTAGTTATCAAACATTATCGCACGTACCGCACTAGCGAGTCCCACGTCCAATATACACTACTAATATCACACGAACTAACTTATATCGGGAAAATGTCTTGGAACTTAACTCCCTTCTAAAAATAGCTAAAAAAATTCATTCTAGAAAATGTATGCACGGAATTAAAATAATGGCTAGAAAATAAGAAAACTTTCGGGTTCTCACACTCTCTCTTCTTACACAAAATCCAGGGTGTCACACACTCCCTTACTTAAAAGAATTTCGTCCTCAAAATTCCAACCTTTCATTCAAATCTTCTTAATCTTTTCACGAGCTAAGGGTTGGAATACTGTAATACCTCATTAATGAGTTCATCACTAATAGTAAAGTTCACCTCAAGAAATTTGTCACTCTATGTATTTCAATCCAACCAGGAGAGATTAAACAGAGCTATTCTCAAATGAAATAGACAAGAAGGTAGCTATGCCATGTATTCTTATTCTGGAATTTTAACACAAGGAGTACCCTTATCACTTATGTACATAATGAAATCCTAAAGCATACTTCGTATCTCAAAAGTTCCACACCCTATCTCAACCTATTTAGTTTCAAAATCAAGTAAACACATAACAAATTTTCACATGCATAGGAGAAATGAAATAGGCTTGCAAAGCTAGCACTTTAACATTCACAGCAACTGGCAAAGTCCAAATCTAACCACAATCTATCAAAACCCTCGCCAAACTATTATTGAACTAGTCTAAGATACCAATCTCCTCAATCGGGTAAATTTCAAGTCCAATACAAGAATCCTCCGTGCTCGGACCTTTGCCACCAGAACTTATCTCAAAGTCACTTATGATTTCTAGTCACCTCATAATACACGAGACTATACCCTTTCCGAATTCACAAGTGTTCTCTCAGGAAAAGTATTTAGTACTCAAGTATAAGAATCCAAACTAAGAGAATTTACAACTTAGGCCGTACGCTCCCAAGTACAAATCAATAAAGTTTAAGATTCCTACCTGACGTACACATCTATCTACCTCAAGTATCATGATAAAGATTTTACACTTACCACTTTCTTAGTTCACAACTTATGCACAAGAAGTGCACTTAGTCCTTTATACATATTCACATAATTGAGACCATATCACCATGTGGCCCAAACTCACTCCGCGCAGAGATAACACGAAGTGGCTCTGATACCATCTGTGACGACCCCACCTCCCCCTAGGGCGTACCAAAGGGTTTAGCGGATCGCCTGCCCAACTCTCGTCAGAACTCATTCACTCGAAACTCGAGAAAATAACTTACATTCATATCAAATAAGAAATACAACAAGTTCAAACTTAATATATACATTGATGCTCAGATCTAGCTACAAGACTTATACACGCCCAAATACATTAACGTGTTTACAATCCAAGTCCAATCAACCCTAGTCGGGTGCTAGCGCGAATACAATTCCAAATTTCAAAACTAGACTACTCTGTACAAGTCTCACCCCTCGCTCGTACCCCCTGCTAAGGAAAACAAATGAAATGGGGTAATCTATATGCTTAGTGAATAATCGGGGGTAAAAATATAAAATCACATTCAAATAAACATGTAAACCAAGATATTTCACATTAATAGATAGAAATGTAACATCACAATGGTAGGATATGGGTGGCTTCAAAGCTAGTTCAGCTTGAACGCCTGTTGACACTCCATCAACCAAAATACTCATGCTCCGTAGACTCCACTTACTTTCCCTGTTCACCTTATCAACCCCCGCTGGCCAGTCAATAGCACACAGCAGCATTTTTTGTCTGTGCTGTGCTCAACAAGGGTCTACCTAATAGCAAAGGTGAAGGGTTGGGAGAATGGTCATCATCCATATCAAGTACATAAAAGTCAGCCGGGAATATCAATTCATTAACTTTAACCAGCACATCCTCGACCAACTCATTAGGGTATGCATTTGTTCGGTTAGCTAATTGGATTATTAACTCAATTTCTTTTAATGGACCGAGATTCAGAGAAGCATACATAGACTTAGGCATTACGTTGATCGATGTTCCTAAGTCCAGCAGGGTATTCCTAATCAAAGTATTACCTATCCTACATGGAACAGTAAACCTACCTGGATCCCCGCACTTCAGTGAAAACTTCCTTTGGAGAACTGCTGACACGTTCTCCCCCACAATGACCCTTTCATCCCCTCTCAGCTGCTGTCGGTTGACACATAGGTCCTTCAAAAACTTTGCATACTTCGGCACTTGCTTGATGGCATCTAACAGGGGAATATTGATCTCTACCTTGCGGAACACCTGCGGGATCTCTTTCTTCTTATCCTGCTTCCTCGGTTTCTCCAACCTGTTAGGAAAGGGAGGCGGGTTAGTTCTAACTGTAATGACTAGATCAGGGAGTACCTTTTCATTTGTGCCATTGTTGTCCTCCTTCTCAAGCTCATTATCGATCCTTTCCTTATCTTTGTCCTTGGAAATCGTGAGTTCGGACCCCTGAATTTCCTTCCCACTCCTTAACGTCATTGCACTTATATTCTTCAGGTTCAATTCAGGTTGAGAAGGCAATTTTTCAAAAACTTGGGATTCCAAGCAGTTGATTGCCACTGCCATCTGACTTAGCAAATTTTGCATTACTAGTATCTGGCCCAGTTGATTTCTCATACCTTGTAGGTCAGAATCTGTCTTTTGTTGATTAGCAATTAATTGCTTCATCATCTCCTCTAAAGATGGACTAGAGCTTGGTGGCGGAGGTGGCGGTGGTGGCGGTGGGCGGGGCTAATACTGCTAGTGATGCCCCTATGGTCTATTAGGTGCAAAATTGGGCTGCCTATTGCCTCCATAACTGAAGTTAGGGTGATCTCTCCATCCCGGATTGTATGTGTTCGAGTACGAGTCATAGGCCTTTCTTGGCGCGGGCGCGTGACCAGCCATGTTCACTTGCTCTGCATTTTCTTCCTGAATCATCGGGCACATATCTGTAGAATGGCCCATCGTAGCACAAATTCCACACACTTTGGCCTGAGATGCATTTCTTACAGCCAGTTGCCTAACAAACGAGGTTAACTCCATCAACTACTGCTGGATAAAAGATGTATCTACCTCATTTACCTTGCGTATCGGGACATCCTCTCTCGTACCGAACTGTTGTGAATTCTCGGCCATTCCCTCAATTAGTTCCCATGCTGCCCGAGGGGTTTTGTTCACCAGTGTCCCTCCACTCACAGCATCAATTATACTCCTGTTTCTGAAGAGTAGCCCCTCGTAAAAATATTGTATGAGCAACTGCTCACTTATTTGATGTTGGGGGCACTTGATGCACAACTTTTTAAACCGCTCCCAGTAGTCATAAAGCGACTCCCCTGGATGTTGTTTGATCCCACAAATTTCTTTCCTTAGACTTGCAGCGCTGGACGCAGGAAAATATTTATTTAAAAATTTTTTCTTCAATTGGTCTCACGTGGTGATACTACCTGGGGGTAGGTAGTACAACCAGTCTTTTGCAGAGTCTTTCAAGGAGAAGGGGAATGCCCTCATTTTTATCTGCTCTTCTATAATACCTGGGGTCTTCATGCTGTTGCAAACTACATCAAACTCTTGCAGGTGTTTATACGGTTCCTCACCTGGTAAACCATGGAATGATGACAAAAGATGAATTAGACTAGATTTTAATTCAAATGGAGTGTTATCATTTAAACTTGGGAAAGTAATGCATAGAGGTTGCTGATTTAAATTGGGAGCGGCCAACTCCCTTAGTGTTTGTGCATTCGCCATGGTGACTTCCTCTTGGTCTGAATCACTTGAGTTATCACTACGCAAATCCGTTGACTCAACCTCTAGCTCAAGTCCTTGAGATGCAACACTGGACTGCTTCTCTCTGAGTTGTCTGGTTTCCTTTCTCGTTTTACGCGCGATCTTCTCTATTTCAGGGTCAAAAATCAATTCACCTATACGAGAAAACCGAGGCATACATTAGAAAAATACTAGAAAATTAGAGCAAAAATGAACTTAAAAAGAAACAAATAATAACGCCAGTCCCCGGCAACGGCGCCAAAAATTGACAGGTTGTCGAAGCCTGTGCAATAATAAAAATAAATCTATTTGTCAATTAAAATAGCCAAAACCCGATTCCAAGTACTGGAGCAGGGAGTCTAGGTGTGCAATGGGTTACTCGATTCACCCTGTTCCTGAAGAGTTTGCTTGATTCGATATACCCGAATGGGATGGCTTTTTCACAAATAAATATTAATTTATAAACAGGGCAAGTAGGGTCGTATTGTCAGAGATTGGGGGTATTTGTCTCTTTCAAAATCCAAAAATAACACAGGGAGTGTTTTTGTGCAGAAGTTGACAATCAAAGAAATTCAAATAAAAATGAATAGCTAATTAGAAATTAAATGATAATTCACTAAAATTAGAGCAGCAATAATTAAAGGTCTAAAACAATTAAGACAAGGAAACAATTAAAAGTAAAATAAAATAGGCAACTAAAAATCAAATGGCAATCGCTAAAATTAAGGTAATAATAATTAAAGATCTAGCCAAGAAATAACTTCAGCAATGATTCACTTAATTGATCGATCATCGATGCACAAGCAATTTCAATTATTTATTAATAAATAGGTTATAACTGCCAAACAAGCGATGACAGTCAACCCCTCCTTACTGTGTTGGTGATTAAGGTACACTCGTTAATCACTGCTTTAATTGAGAAATAATCCTAGGTACGCCCATAGAATTTAATTCCCCAATTGCCTTACGTATTAGAGGAGCCCTATTCTAACTAAATAACGCACTACTAGGGTTATTTCAGATTAGCCCGTGTATTCCCCTGACACAAATCCAATCATGCCAGTTGTCACTATTTCAAGGCAATTAAATAATTACGGATTTAATGCCCTAATTGACAATAGATTACCCAATCAACTAATTATCCGGATCCAAGACAATCAATTAATTGGACGATTAAAATCACTGTAATCAGAGAATATGCGAATACTAATAAATAAAATGAAAAAGATAAAATTAAATCGATCTCACAAGTTTTATGTGAATCAAAACCTCCGTTGTTCCTTGACTAGAGAAGGAGATTTAGTTCATCTTGGATAAGAAAGACCCACACAAAGTTGCAGCAACAATTGTGGCCATGGTCTCCAAAATTGAGAAAATTCAATTTGGTTCGGCAATTAAGGAAAAGTCAAGATTACAAAGAATGCCCAATTGCTTTTCTTTGCCTTCACATCCGATGGAAGCAAAAGCACAACAAGACGAAAAGAGGAAAAGTCAAAAGAAAAACTAAGCTAAAGCCTAAAAGTAGTGCTTGTCCTCTGCCCAATTTTTCTACCTAATTGTTAACTAAGATCTCCTCTTGTGCGGCGGCTCCTAGGGGAAAAGAACACTTCGGCCCAAATTACCCAAAAAGGGCTTGCATCTCTTTTGTTCCCAAAATGCCCCTGTATGCCTTTCATTTGAATTCTTTCTTGATGACTGTCAAATTGGCCTTGGTTGTGGTATTTTTGTTCTACTCCCTGAAATAAATGCAAATTACAAAAAATGAGTAGAATCTAATAATTAATTCACATCAGATCAGGTAATAGGGAAAATAAATAATAAAATTACAACCTATCATTCATAATGATTTTTTTTTTCATTTCTGGTCCTTATAAACTTCAGAAGATCCTACACTGACGCAGTTGACAGGCCAAAGATCGAAACCAACCCTCCATAAACTGAAAATATACCAGCTTCAAGCAACGATAGAACCAACAACACGACAGAGGCCACCAGTTTGAGCACAAGTGGAGACAACAGAGTTCGAGGAAATAAGAATGTTGCCGCAAGAGAAATCAAGCAGACAATGGCTAACTAGTTCTGAAGTTGAAGGAGAACTTCGTCCACAGTTCATCAGGAATGATTATATTATATGTGTGGCACTTACCAAGTAGTAGTAATATGTAGTGGCTTGTTTTACTAATTACTGAAAGAATAAGGTGGTTTGTCTATAAGTACGTCTTCTTTTTCTCTTTTTCTAGTTGATGTTTGGTGATGTATTGTTCTGTAACAAGATTATCATATTCATAATGCTACCAGTGTTCTGTATTGCTAAATTTTATTTGCAAGATGGCTTGACTTTGAGGCTGCTTCAGTTTCTATATATGCATGGAACTAAAATTTGGGATTAATCGAAATGAAGTTTGATAGTATTCGACAGTACTAAATTGAAAATGTTTAGCAAAACATACAAATAATATATCTCGTGTGATTACCAAATATTCACTTTCTTTCCATTGCACTAAATTATCGAACTATATACGGTTTCTCAAATTTATGGACTTTTACTAACTCTTAATTCACAAAACTCCCGAATAAATAACGTGGATTTGCTGTGCACTTTGTCAGTCGTCTAGACTCCAAATTATAAGGAACAAAATAGCAATTTAAGGGGTTTAGAAGTATCTTTCTTGATACAATGGAGGAAGAACTAGGAGGGTGGAGCATTTGTTTTTCGTTCCTACAAGCCAGACATTATAACTTACCCGTGCCAAGGGGTACCTGCACCCAGAGGTTTCCAAGTACTTTTCCAATGGGGAAATATGTGGTTTATTTCTTTTACTGTTTTCCCTATCCGCAGCAACCCTACCTACTTACTTGCATACCTGATCTTTCATAATCATCTAGTCTCTAGGGTTGCAAGCAAATGAGTTGATTTTCTCTATACTCAACTCGAATTCGATAGCTTAGTTTGGTCGCCTCAAGTTTGAGTCGAGTTTTGACTGAGAGTATTTCTAAGTGCTCGCAAATGCCTTGATAAAATAATTATTTTATCATTTTTTATTAAGAAAATGAAATTTTATTCATTTTTAATAATAATCTAATAATTTATAAAAATGATATAATAATAATAATTATTATTTTTTAAGAAAAATAAATATTTTATTCATTTTTAAAATTTTAAAATAATTATTTTTTTATTTTTTAAGTTTGAGTAGGCTCGAGTTCAAGATTGATAAAATTAAATGAAAATTCGACTCTATTAGATCAAAATTTGACTTGATTCAACTCTTTCCAGCTCCACTAGACTCTCATTAGTTGGTTAGTCTCCTTTTTTAGGGATAATTTCAGAAACCTCCCCTGAGGTTTTTGATAATTTCACTATCCTCCCTTGAAGTTTGTAAAATTACACAAACCTCCCTTGATATTAAGCTTTTTATAACAAAAATAGTCCAATTAGAAAAAACTAACATTAAAAAGGTACTTTAAGAAGAGAGATGAAACTTTAATTCCATAAATACCCCTGTGCATGTATATAAGTTGTATTAATAAACGTTAGAAACAATTAATATACACATTTTACCACTTAAAAAATGTATATTTAAATATGCAATTTTACCACTAAATTTTTTTTAAAAATTTGCCTTTTTCTCTCTTTTCCTCCATTAGGTATATCAATTGATGTTATTTTATTAATAAAAGTCATCGTTCATTATTGAAGAAATTTTCAACAGTTATTTTCGTTAATTAGTACTCTAATTATTTGATTATTAGATATTAGTAAAGAAGAACGAAGGGAAATAAAAGGCAAATTTGAAAATTTTTCTGTTCAAAATCACAAGTGTTATAGTAAACATCATGTCAAAAGAAATGACTAATCTGTTTTATTGAATCTTTTGATTATTGGTGTAGTTTTGTTACTTATTTGCATTATCTAATTTATCAAATGTGAACTTTTTGAGTGATGAAATGTATGTATTAATTGTTTCTAAATTTTAATTATTTTTATTCTTTTATAAATACAACTTATATACATGCATAAGGGGTATTTATGAAATAAAAGTTTTTTTCTCTCCTTAAAGTACCTTTTTAATGTTACTTTTTCTAATTGGACTAATTTTGCTATCAAAATCTTAACTTCAGGGGAGATTTATGCAATTATGCAAACTTCAAGGGAGGCTAGTGAAATTATTAGAAACCCCAGGGGAGGTTTCTGAAATTATCCCCCTTTTTTAATAACATAGATAGTCTGATTTTACTAAATAAGCTCTAGGTAATTTTTAAAGTATGGTGGTTCCAATCGGTGTTGAGTACAAGATTTTAATAATTGTAAGTTAAATGAATTTTAGATATATTAACGAGTATCCAACGAGCACCTGTTAAAAAAATCCTTATTTAATAACTAGTCTCCCTTTTTTTTTTAAGTATAACATTTTTACAACGGGCCAATGTTGGATTGCAAGTTACATGTTATATAAGTATGTGATATTTTCTCGGATCTTGTTATGCTTTTCTAGATTCTAACCGACCAATAAAATGGCGATTTGAAATGCAGAAAATGATGCATAATTCCACATATAATAGAGCAAGGTGCATGGGTAGTTCCAAAAAGTGACAATTTTTTGGAGTTT